TGAGTATTATGAGATATATTATTTATTATAAAATAACATTCCATACAATTTGGCGTTTGCACGCTCCCTATGGAACAATTTTTTAAAATTTTTTTTGCCAATAATATTGTTGGGCTTCATGATATGTTTGTTCTTGATGTTTTAGAATTTGGTTGGGATGATTTTCATTTTCATACTATTTTTTAAAACAATATTTTAATAACAAATTAAAAATTTATATTAAAAAATTGTTTTAAGAAGCAGTAAGAAAGTCGCATTAAGTTTCATTTGGACAGTTTTTTTACTACTTTTTAAAGTAGTTTTTTAGTTAAAAAAATATTTTAAATTATAAATTTTTGTACTTAAAAGTTATTTTAGAAAGCAGTAAAAAATTGCCTCAAACAAAACATAATCATGAACTTGAGATTAGTTAAGAGACTGATAGGGTATTTTCTAGCTACATAAGAGGCTGTCTAACTCACAAGGGACTCGAGAAATGACGGCGCGCGCTATGGTTAGAGATATATGAATTCATATTTTAGTTCATAGGATTTGTTTTTCTTTCACACAACATCATATTGGAGAGTTCTGAGAGTTTATGAGTGTTAAAATAAAGAAGAAATATAAAGTATGAGATGGAGCATCAATGATCAAAGATATATGAATCAATTCATAAATTTATTGTAATCATATGTTAATTTTCAAATGGTGTTATGCATTATATTAAAAATTTACAAGAAATACACGAGAATAATTAAAGATGACCCTACTAAGAACATTAGGGTCCAATTTATAAGAATGAAAATGATGTCTACTTTTGTTAAGGCTGATTGATAAGGGATAAGATAATAATGATCCATTTAACTTTCTCGATTAACTTAGTTATTTCATGTTGATATTAAGGTTTGAAGACGAATTTTCTACCAAAAAATACATACATTGTATAGAGATTTAGCCCCAATCCAACCTTCATGATAAGATCGATCACTGTAAGGGTTAGAAAGGGGAGCGAAAATATCCCTTATCAGAGATTCCAGGAGACTGTGAAAGATATATTATTGTTGTGTCCTGGATCATTTTTTATGGTAGAAAGATGAAGAGCTTAACGTCTTAGATTTAAACGAATATTTAACACACAGATAGATAAAAAGAGAGAGGTGAAAGAGTTATCAGAGACACTATAATTTTTACGTAGAAATTCCTGAAAAGGAAGAAAAAATCACAATGTTGTGAAACTCCTTAAGTAAAAAGTAGCTAAATTCTTAAGCATCGAGCAACCTTTTGGTATATTTTTTGAAATTTTATTAAAGAAATAGTATAGTTAAGCGTGCTCATCTAGGATAAAACCTTACGATGGATGACCTCCTGGGAAGTTACACCAAAAGACTAAACGGTGAAACCCTTAGGCCAAAGTGAACAATATATCAATAGTTAAGAGTTTGAGCTATTACCAAGGCCTTGTCCAGTTGAAATGAATCATATAGTAATTATTGTTAATTATAAATGTTGCCCTTGCTCGGAGGAAGGCGCTGCCTCAATGTAAAAAATATAAAGCACATTCATAGTTGGGCTTAGAATAATCTAATGATATGAGAGCTATTATCAAAAGAATATTACAATATTTGTTTGGTCGGTAGCACCATAGTCGGGCGACTGAGTTCGGATGGACTTTAATCAGTGAGTGACGCTAGTTAGAGGGATCATAATTGGCTGGCGAGGATGGTCAGATGGACTGTAATCGAGAGGCAATGTTAGTCATAGGGACTGTAGCTAGTGGGCAACGATGGTCGGAGAGGTTGTAGTCGACGGGAGACAGTGGTCGGAGGTAGACTCGACGACGGGAGACAGTGGTCAGAGGTAGACTAGATGATGGTGGTCGAATGGAGGTACAACAATAATTATCAGGCAGAGGTTCAACGTCGGTGGTGTCGTAGTGGAGCTCCATGATTTTTCAAGCGTTATATCTCTCTTGATCTCTAACCAAAGTTTTGAGGATTTCAAAGGTCCAAGGCCCTACAAATACGGAGTGAATCTAGGATACATTTAAAGTGTTTTATAGGATGGCTCATAATAATTCTCATTATGAATAGTTTGTCAAACATTTAAGTGCCTGAATGATGTCAGAATGAAATAATGTTGGGCTCGTTGGATTTGTCTCGTTGAGCTGCTCGATTCAACTAAAAGCATGTTATATTTCAATATCATTTGGTATTCCAATTAATGCTTTAGATCTTCCAAATATATTTTAAGCTCTTAATTTGAGCACATTTGGTCACAGATTAAACCAATTTTGGCATTGTTGGATTCGCTTTGCTGAGACGTTCAATTTAACTATAAATTTGCTAAAATTGGAGTTCATATAGCCTTGAATTTAATTTTGAAAGATTTCAATTAAGATATGTTTCGAGATTTGTGTTTGATTAATACAATTTTTTTATAACATATTAATTATATTATGATTATTTCATTAAAATCATTTGGAAAACTTTGTTATGTGTTTTCTATTAGTCCAAGTCATTCTTCTATTTTTTTTTTAACAAAAGGGGTCTCATATTTATGCTATACAAGAAAAGTTATGTTTATATGCCTTCACAATCAATTCATAGTAAAATTTATAATGACAACAATAAAATATACCCAATTATATGAATGTGTGACACCCTCTCTCTCTCTCTCTCTCTCTCTCTCTCTTCCTCTCTCTTTCTCATATCTATCTTATTATTATTATTATTATTTAACATTCATCGATTTTCAACTTACATCTATACTACTATATAATAGTGTCTTGGGATTCCACCCATAGCGAATCTTGATCGTTTATCTATAAATTTTATATTAATCTACAACGTTCATATATGACTCCTCAAATTCTATTATTTATCACTTCCTATAAAACATTTATTTATTTATTGTATGCAATTTAATAATCTTTACAATTTTTTCGACGGTAGAGCCCTTATTATATAAATGATTTTCTTATAATTCATTTATTTCTCCTTTGATGTTATTGGACGCTTTAACTTCTTATATATTCATATTCATGCATGGGTTAACTAATTGGATTGAATTAAATCCCCGCTTCTTCCCTATCCGCCTCCTTAATGCTTAAGACTCTTCCTTCTCTGTCTCTTCGCCTTACAAAATTGACGCTAAAAAAAGACGTTGAAGCTATAAAACAGTGCTTTAAATTGACATTAATATTTTTAATTAATTGTAATTTAATTTTAAGTTATCCACACATATCCTTTTCGCCTCTGAATGAAAAGCCTCTACTTCTTAGAATCAATGAAATTTTCTTTTTATATATATTGAGTAATCGTCACATAACTGATCATGCTTAAGACCTCCTTCCTGTGACATATATGTTGCTATTATACAATGGAAATTTTGTCCAGACAAATTTAAGAGATAATTATAATTATTTTATGTTAAATTTTACAATATCATCTTGCAATTTTTATAATATATTCAAGTTACTTTGCATTTTAAAAAGCCTCAAATATTTACTAAATATGAAATTCAATATTTATTTTTCATCTCATTTTACGTCATGAATTATATTTCCATTTTAAGATTAAAACTGATACGTCCTCAAAAATTATTTTATAAGAATTGAAGCAATAGATACATTTAACAAATGTGTGATTGCAATTATTTTTGGTGTCATTTGTTGCTAATCATGATATATATATAGGATGTGCATGATATCAAAGTATACCATAAGTTTTGTGTACATTAATTAGCTACGTGCCTACTTTAAAATGTAGGTTAATTATTAATAAATTATGTTAATTTAATTGATACTAAAAATAATCATTTTAAATTATATTGATCCATTTTTTGGATTATATCACATGTTTTGGATTTGTGCCTACCTACTATAGATGCTTTACATTTTTTGTAATTATTTCTACAGCCACTTCTTCCTATGGATGTAGCAAACGTATGTATCTGTATGTTAAATTTTGTTAAACAAACTTAATAAATTCATTATTTGAGCTTCAAATAGACACAACACTTCATCATATACCATAAAAAATTACGTACATTTGCATTATCTAGGCTTTTTTATCTTTTTTTTTTGTGATATTTGTTGAGTTTAATATGATGAAAATATTTTTTTTGTTAATCTCTGATATTGGGCCATTTAGTTCTCTCTTCAATCCTTTGGAAGCAAGCAAAGTCAATGGATTTAAATAATGAATCAGTACTAAGACCTTTTACATGTTAATTTGCAAGGCAACGAGTTATTTATGATACAAGATTGTGAGTCATGATAGTACCTTGACATTTGCCTTCTTCTACACTTTTGTCTAAGTCTATTTCACATGCTTCAAAAAAGTTTTTTGAAAGAGTCACAAAATAAGTTTCTTTGCCTTCTAATCCTTCAACAATATCTCTTCTACTTGTGGTTATACATGAATTTGCATTAATTTTTATTTGTATTTAATTTTCCCACTTAAATATGTCAATATATGTTTATTTTTGATTTCATATGCTTTATATTTTTTACTTGGTCTTTTCCTTCTTAACCTTCTAATTTATTGAAGTCAAGACATAAGAACATGATTTAATGTTGCTCTTATTCTCTAATGAATATATTTACTCCGAAAATTGATCATTTTTAATCATTTTATAATCTACAGTGCTATATTATGATCCGTTTATCTTCATTCGGAAATGCAATTTATATAGTTGATTATTTTATTTTCGTTTGGTAACTCAAATTGCTGTTTGAACCTTCCAACAGCGCTTCGAGTCCTTGATTTGGACTCATTTGGGCTCGGATTGGGTTGATCTTGGTATCGTTGGGTTTGTTTTTCCGAGACGCTCAGTTTGACTGTAAGCTCGCAGAAATCGGAGTTCATATGCTCTCGAAATTAATTTTTGAAGTTTCCAACTATGTTTTTGCCTCGAGATTCGTGCCCGATCAAGATGATTTTGCGATGCCGTATCACTGATATAATTAATTTATATTAAAATGATAAAATTTTAATTCAGCCCATCCATTAAAATAATTAAGGAAAAATAGTTCATTAACAAAAAATTTATAATTTTTCGGCTTCCTCAAAAAAAAAAAAAAAAAAAAAAAAAAGTATTTTGCATTTTCTCTTATGATTAGTATTACCCTATTAAACTTTCTTAAAAAAAAAAAAAAAGTATTTTGCATTTTCTCTTATGATTAGTATTACCCTATTAAACTTTCTTGTAAATCTGATATTTATAAAAATATTTGTAATAATTTAAATTTTTTAAGAAAATTATATAACGATAAAATAAAAATATGAAATTTATTTCTGTTTTTTTAAACATAAAATATTTCCACTTTTTATGATGGTACAACATGAAGATGGAAAATCATTACTTAATATTATTTAGAATAACTTGTATTATAATTTTAATGTAATACTAATTTTTTTTATATTTTTGTCTGCTCGTCGTCCAAGTATGTTCTCCAACTATTGTCATCCAATTATGATCATCTAACTGCTATCATTTACGTGTGCCCCCCATCCTGTGAAGAAATGCATTAGTTGTATTCAATGGCAATGACTGGTCTGTGAGAGGTTCTGTAATTTTTTATTTTTTAAAAATTTCATGTACAAACTGCATCATTTCTCACAACACTTGAATTTCTCTTTTTTTTTTGTGTATTAGAATTTCATATAATGATAAAATAATAAAATCTCTAACTTTTTTATTTTATGTATATATAATCGCTTCCTCTCTTAAAAAAAATTAAAGCGAAACATTCATCGCTTAATGTAATTTTACTTCAAAAAGTACTATCGTTATAGTAAGTCGATAATGATCATCGATAAAATTAAGCCTAAAGCAATATTTTTTTTTCAAAATAAGGATAATTTTGTATTGATTGTACTTAATCAAACTTAATTCACTAATTCCCTAAACCAATTAGCCCAAATAAAAATATTCAACATTTTACCTAACAACTTTTAGAAAAGAGAAATATTCAAACGCCCCCAATATGTCTTGACAGCGTCTACAAAAAGATGCTAGAGAAAAATCAAATGTGCATAAGTACATAGATTGATAAATTTGCAAAAAATTACAATGAGTGCACTTGTGAGGTGATATTTCGAACAATCATATTATGAGTTTATTTAGAATGACTGCAATGTTTTATAAATCAATCTTCCTCGCCTCTGATCCCTCACGCGTGCTCTTGCGCAGATAGTAGATGACCTTGCGAGGCCTAGATGGTGGCCGGAGGCCGGTGGCGTCAGGCGTGCTGGTGATTTCCACAACTTTGTCATCCCTCGCCTTACAACCCTCACGCGTGCGCTTGCGCAGACATTAGCTAGCAAATGAGAGTTAAAGTTTTTTTTTTTTTGGTTGATTTCAATTTACGAGCATGAAATTATCGCGAGGCCCAGCCTTCTCCTCCCTTGAAGGGCCATGAGGAAGGATAGATTCTTACTTATGATTTTTTTAGCTTCTTTGGCTATTAAAAAGAACACATTTTTGCACATCTAAAATCTAATACAATCACCAAGCAAAACTTAATAAAATAATTTAGACCCCATTTAATAAAATTACTGGTTTCTCCACTATATATATATATATATTATTTGACATCTAATATAAAATAAAATAAAAAAAATTTTTACTTTGAAAAAAAAAAGGAAATGAAATATTGCTATCAAAATAAAACTGGATAGTATTTTTTTCCTATTTTAGTTCATGTAACAATCGACTTGTCTCCAACGGACGGTCCTGATTCACGTGCTTTTATGATCTATGCGGCGAGAAGTCATGCCCTGTATGGTATAGCGCGTTGTCAGAGAGCTTAGCCGTCTTGGATGATCTGACGGTAGGAAATAATGGCTCCGAAATCAGACGGCTCAGAGAGATTGTAACGCCAAACACGCAGTCCTTTTTCTCAATTCATGCTTCCCCCCGTTTCTTCGTGGTTCAATCTGATTTCTTTTATATTCTTCTTTTTGTCTTTTTCTGTTTTCAAAATAGATTTCAGTCGTCGTTTTCTTTTCTGTTCGAGGAAGGAGAAGAGGAAAAAGGGGGACGACGGGCAAGGATCGGCGGATCTTGGCAAAATGGCAGATCAAACGGCGAAGGGGGAAGAGTTCGAGAGGAAGGCGGAGAAGAAGCTTACGGGATGGGGAATATTCGGATCGAAGCACGAGGATGCTGTAGATTTGTACGAGAAGGCGGCGAATTGTTTCAAGCTCGGAAAGAACTGTATGGGATTCAGTCGTTTCCTTTCATCTATTTCGAATTTGTTTTTTGTTTACGAACTGTGAGATGCGCTGCGAGTTTTCAAAAGCAATGCATTTTTGAATGCATGGTATGGTTTAGGGCGATCGGATGGTTGCAATATGGATACTTGTTACGTGATTGTAGGCTTGATTTTTTTTCGAGATTCATGAAGGATTTAGGTGAATTTTGGATGATCTGTAGAGGGATGCTCTACATAACCTTGTTAGATGACTGAATCTGTTGGAAATAACAAGCAAATTGAATGGAATAGCTTAATTTTCAGTGGTTGTTTGTCTACCCGTAGGATTAAAGTTAAGCAGGAATTAGTAAATCTTGTTCTTGCTTGTTGGAGTAGCGCGTCGGTAGAAAAAACAAAGAATTTATCGTCAGAAAAGCAGTGCAGTGCACAGGAGGCACTTTTTTGGGGTGTAGGACCTAGAAAAATTACAGGGTATTGCTCTTTTGAAACAATTTCTATTAGTTATAATCCCAATTTACAGATGACCACTCATCTCTGGAATTGGAACAGCATAATGCAATGTAAAATATCTAAATTTTGGTGGATCACCCTACGGTGATAGTTAAGGGAATATGGAGTGTTGATGTTTATAGCATTACATGGCCGTTGAAATAGTCTCTTGCTTTAAAATATTGGAGTGGATTGAATGACTTTGAGTTAGGGTTTAGGGAAGAAGGAAGGAAGAGAGGCAGTCGGGACAATCTCTCTCTTGAAAAGAGGGGTGATTAAATGAATTAGAGCTGACAGGAAATTGGAGACGGTATTGTAGGATGTACTAGGTAACACTAGGATTATCGATTGGATCTCTTGACAGAGTTTAGAGTTTTAAAATTTCTACGATCTAGGGGTTATGTCTCTTTAGTTCATATGCCCAAAATGGATAAAATTAATGCTTATTTATATATTTCAAGAGGGGTATTTTGACTTTTTTTTTTCTTAAAGTATATTTATATGTGTGAATAACAAACAAACCAAAGTGCACCCTTCCCTAATTGGGAATGAAACTAAATGATCACTTCCTTGGGCCTAATCAATGGGCAATTCGGGTCAAGGTTGACCTGGGCTTTTACTTGGAGCTACTTTTTTTTCTTAAAGAATATTTATATTTGTGTGAATAACAAACAAACCAAAGTGCACCCTTCCCTAATTGGGAATGAAACTAAATGGTCACTTCCTTGGGCCTAATCAATGGGCAATTCGGGTCAAGGTTGACCTGGGCTTTTACTTGGAGCTGTTGGCTATTGTTATTATCATCCATTCAACAATTGAAACATACCATTTGAAGCTTTTGATGTCATGGATTCAATGGAGTTGATAGATAAAAAATTTGATGGTTTTATTAAAAAAATCGGATCCATTTCCAAATAAAGTTGCATCCTACTTAAAGAACAAAATCCATGTGATAACCAACTTTACTTAAGCTTTCTATAGAGCAATTCGAGGCTCAATTGAAAAGAGGATCGAGGAACAACATAAAACAACATAAAAAGCAAGAGATGTTAACAACATAGTACATTTCATTCCAATGATCATGACGAAATGCTAGAAGAAAAGGGAGAAGTTCACCTTGGTGGTATTTCTATGCATATCTATAAATCATAGCAGCAAAGCTATAGATCTAGTAGATAACATTAACAACTGAGTAAGAGGGATGTATAATAATACAACAATGGTGGTCGATGAAACAGGAGAATGGGACGATAATAACTTTTTTAGTGTTGAGCCATAGAGGATAAACCATGACTAGAGAAATGAGGAAAATCAATGAAGGGTTTGGAGATAGTTGGTGGCAAACTACTCAAGAGCAAGAAAGTAGGAGGAAAACTTCTAAAACCTGAGGTCCTAATGGGGAATTTTACTAGCAAGCCGAGAGGAGGGAGTTCTGTGTGCGTGCGCATGCGTGAGAGAGAGCTATGAGGGACCTATTTTTCATAAATTCCTTAAATCCTATGCTCCACAGGATTTGATAAATCATACTAAATTAATCACATATAAGGAGATTTAAAAGGAATCAAGATTTAGATGCCTTAAAAACTGTTTGCCAAGAATTAAGCTGGATCCCAAGTTAATCACATTTAACATGGGGTGGTGATTTTCTATGGTTGGATTGATGATGATTTTGAGCATTTCTAACTCTAATTGACGTGTTGAGTGGTGTTTGAGGGGCGCCTTCTATGGTGTCTTATTTAATTAACATTTTAAAAGAAATTGTTGAATTATATACAGGCAGATATTTTTTATGTGTTTGCTTCGTGAGGCATGCAACATTTTTTTATTTATTTTGGGTGAAAGTACTATCACACTGTAATCACTCTTTCGGAACAATTATTTTCTTTTTAATTGTGTACATCATTAATGTTCTAAACTAGATTCCAGACTTGCCCATACTTTTTAGTGTAGCATCCCATTGAAAATGACATGATTTAATTAATAAAAAGTGAATATAGAGCCTTTATTAGCTATTGGGGTTATGAAAAATTATTATATTATAATAGTCTTTTCTCATAAATACAGACTATTTTTCTTTTGGCTCCACTTCCCTTTGATATTAAGCTTACCATTTCGAGTAAACAAAATATTGATATTGATGTTCCTGAAACAACATTTTTTATAGGCGCCTCAGAATTTATGACTTTGTTCTAATTTGTTTTGATATCGATCATTAGATATACCATTTTGGGAAAATCTTAGAAATTTTATATATGCTCCCTTTTCTCATTGGCAACATCAATGTAATGATCTCCAAAACTTATGTGCTCTTGAAAGCAATTGTAGTTCTTTATAGGTGGAGCTGATCTTAGAGAAGCAGAACAGAAGAACAGCAGAAATACTTTTCCATTGGCTTACCGTTTGGTACTTTTGATGTTTCAGGGGACAAAGCTGGAGCAGTATACACCAAGAAGGCAAATTGCCACTTAAAGGTTCATTCATTGCTTTCCTGGTTCATTTCACTTCACATAAACATATATTTCCGTCTAATTTATGTTTCTCCCATGTCCAGTCAGATAGCAAACATGAAGCAGCATCAGCTTATGTGGATGCGGCAAACTGTTATAAGAAAATTTCAGCTGAAGGTCATAGCTTCCAGTTCCTTAGAGATTTATTTCTACTTTAAAAAGGGATTTGTTAACAGTTTCCAGTTTTTCACTGTCCTTAGAGATTTATTTCTACTTTAAGGGGGTGTTTGTTAACAGTAGACCTACCTCTTTATTCAGCCAGTGGAAACTCAATTTACTTTTAGATGTTCAGTTTGAAGTGTTAGTTGATAATTTGTTGTGACCCAGATTGCTAGTATTAAATTGAAAATGTCACAATAAAATAAATTTTTTGGTAGTATCTGATAATAATTTTCTTTGAAAAAATAAGTGATTTGAATCCCAGGAAATTAAAGCTTCAAAATGGGCATGAGAGTGACGGATCCGACCCAAAAATAATAAATCTTTACAATAGGTATGAGTGATCAAATAGAACAAATCATCTTGATGAAAATATACATCTAGTGTTATCTACAAAAAGAAATTGCATTTGCTAGTTAACACAAACGGGGCATCGAATAGATCCAAATAACAGTTGCCCTTGCAATTGATCAACATTTTAAAATGCCCCCACACATATACACTACAACATGTATATACATAAACACAGAAATGCACATGCAAGCATGCAAACTTATATACATGCAATCATAAACCCGCGTGGGCCCTGACGAGTGTGTTACAAGTATACACGTGAAATCTAGGGATGCTGCGCGGGTCAATAAATGAAATCAAGTTCGTGCCCGATCTTTCTATGAGGGTAGACAGAAGTCAACACAGCTCGAACCATTAAACAAATATATGGTCATGGTATCAACCGAGATATTTGTTTTAATACGTTCATATTAGGTCTTCAAGGCCTATGAATAGAAAAATTCATTTAATAAAATCATACATCCAACAAACCCGATCCTCTATTGGCAAGTTAATAGGGTTGACTAGGTTTATTCAATGAAAATGCCCGTACACCCCGATGATGGTTTTATTGAATGTAGATTTCAACCGGAGGAGTTAATTTTAAATACTCTATATACTTTCAAATGACACCAAAATGCCAGAAAGTCCAAAATCCAAATGTTTAAAATTGAAACTCAACCATTAATCACTTAAAGTAAAATTCATACACCCTCCACAACAGTTTGTCGATATAGACAAATTGAAAACTACTTCAGCTCACAAAGAGCTAATGTCTGATTGAGAATATCATAAGATTCATTCTTAAACAATCTCCTGTCAGTAAGGACGGGACACATGTTTGCAATCCGGCGGTTGTGTCTCCAAATGACATCACATGTAAACAACTATGACTGGGGCTCTCTGAACCGGGTGGTTTGCCGCCAAATGAAACCATCAAATTATAGTTATGGCCGGAGCCCATATGCTCCCCAATGTCATTAAATCTTTGAGATATGAATCAATATGATATAATCGATTGGGCACAAACCCCTATGTCAGCTAAGATGAATTCAAATTTCTCCTCTTAGACAATTACCCACCCTAGGTCTACAAGGTACCCTTGGATGAAGCAACCTATGGCTGCCGACAAGGATCCTTCTGCCAGGTTGGGTCGCTACCTCCTTTGACTAAATAGAGCCGAAACCACGATGGTCCGGGATGGCGGAATCATGAGATCTTGATTGGGTCCATCATCCATTCCCCACCATCCGCTTTAAGTGCAAGAGGGTGAAATTTTCAATTTTAAATATACAACTTCCAAAATCCAAGCCCATGCTGCTACTATATGTCAGATAACACATACTTTCTACGTATTTGATTGACGACTAGCCTTAATCAAAAGTTCTCTCTTGTTATCGGAAGGGGTAATTAACTATAGGGGCTTGTGCCTATAGGAAACCAGAACTTAGATCATAAAATCCTCGCAAAATGAGGGCGAAATCTCTGGGTAGTATCTTATCTACAAACCTAATTTGCCTTCCCAAGATTTATTAATGTGAAACATAATGCATGGAGACAAGAACTGCTTGGGGATTTTAATATAAGATTGTTAAAGCTTTGCTAGTTATAGAATTCATGTTTACCCAAATTAAGTTATCGGAATTATCAAGTCGAAATTAAGTAAGACATGTGGTTACAACTAGATTAATGGGACAATATCAAATTGACAACATAGAATTAGGTAGTAATGTTATGGAGAGAAACAATAATCCACAATTAACAAATAGAACTTTTCACCTTGGGTCTCTCACTCACTCTCTTGTTGGTGGAACTTTTAATGGAGGAAGATTGAGAGCAACCGAGCGATGCCACTAGGAGGCAAATGGTGCACAAAGTGTAGTCCGTTGGAGTGGTAGCCGGTGGCGGGTAGTCCATGGGATGACTAGAGAGCATCCAACGTCTTATCCTTTCTTCCTTGATCATCAAAGACGAAGCTGTGGTTGATGGAGCATCCGAGAGAAGATGTGAGGGGAAGAGCAAACCGTGAACAAGGGGAAGGAGGAGGGGCCACGGGTTGGAGAGGGGAGAGGGGCGGGTGAGGCTATGGGGGAAGAAACTCTAAATCTGAAATTTTATTCAGATTTCCGAAATTGGAGGGCTCTTAATTTCAATTTCAGAAATTTTGAATTTGAAATCAAGTTTAGGAGGGAAGGGGTTAATGGTGCATTAAAGAAAATTAAGAGGGGAGAGAGAGAGGGGGCCGTCCATGTAAAAAAAAAAGGGGTGATGTGGCTTTAGGTTTGAGTAGGTGGGGACCACATAGGATTAAATTAATATAATTAAAATTCCGATTTTAATTTCAGAATTAATTATATTAAGTAACTCCCAACTCATATGACAATAGGAAGGAATTGAAATTTGAATTTCAAAAAGATTGTAACTCACCGTAATTAATATCCTAATTTAATTTGACTTAATTAGGAAATTCATTAGGGGAGGAGAATTCAAAATTCGAATAGGTGGGCTAGAGGGAAATCGGCGGCAAGGCTTCATGGGTGACCGGCGGCAAGGCTGAGGGTGGCTGGCGGCAAGGACTCCACGGTGGACGGTGGGCCGCTGGGCGGTTTTCTGGCCGGCGGGAGGGCTTTACAGGCCAGTGGGATGGGGTGCTGGGTTGGTCGGCGGGAGGCTGGCCGGCGGTTGCCTAGGGGAAAGGGGCGGCGGCAAGGATCCGAGGGAGGAAAAGGGCAATTCTACTAGGGATTACTATGCCACGGATTCACCTTGATTTCCCACACCAATTGATCACAAAGATAATGGAAAAGAAGGTCTAGAACTCATAAAGAGATCTAGCTCTTCTCAAAACTCACTAAGAGATTTGAGAGAGATATGCACTCACAAAGAGAACACAAAATAAATTTCATTTCATCAAAAACTAATCATACATAGGAAAATGACCATATATATAGGCCTCTAAATGACAAAGAAAACAAAAGACTAAAATGCCCCTTGGGCTACAATAGCGACTAAATACCCATAAGGGCAAAAACGGAAACACATAAAAATCAAATAAACTACTACATAAATGACTCAAAATAAAACTCATGATCGTGGCCGTCGATCTCCGGCGTCTCCTGATGGTACATGTGTCGAAATCTCTGACGATGTCCTCATCATTTATCCTTGAACTTAATCCGTTAAAACCTCCCGAAAAGCAACGGGCAAGGTCGGGGCGGAATTTTCGGAGCCCATAGCTTGTTGGTTTGTTGCTCTTGGAGAATGGCTTAGCACCAATACCATTCGAAATTGGATTCATTTCATCTGATTTGGCATAAGTTGTACTATTGTTTATCGACTAAACATCGACATTCAACTATTCTCACTTGTGCTTGGGATCAATGATGATGATTTATTTTTTTCGGTTTTATTATACCTTTTATATTTGGATATTTGTGAATTTGTTACCATTTGTTTTGTCATGGTGCTAGTGCAATACTAGGTTAATATTCAAATTGAAATGCATTAACTATTAAAGGCATGCAGATAATATGTACTTAATAGAAATAAAATTATGCATGTGAAGGTGTTACCATGATTTTAGAATAATGTTTTTTTGGCTGCATCCTATCCTGCGTATGCTTGTCCAAAATTCTAGCATTAAACTATTATTTATTTCATTAATACTGCTAAAAAAAGTTCTTTTTACTATTTTAGGAATGAATAACCAAATTCCGTTATTTAATTTCTTCTGCAGATGCTGTACAATCTCTAAATCAGGCTGTGAATCTTTTCTTGGATATTGGTAGACTGACTATGGCTGCAAGATACTGCAAGGTACTTAAAATCTGAATGTTGTAAAGGCAGTTTCCATCATGCTTTATTAAGTTTTTATTTTGCTTTATTTAGAGGAGGTTTGGGACTGATGTTTGTCTCGATAATGATTGCAATTTTTCTTTCGTTTCCTTTTTAAACTACGCCTTTTGTATTGCGGTTATTCACATGCTATATATGTTTGAATGCTTGAACTTGTTTTCAGGAAATTGGTGAAATTTATGAGCAAGAGCAGAACTTAGAGAAATCTATGGATTACTTTGAGCGGGCAGCAGATCTTTTTCAAAGTGAAGAGGTTACAACTTCTGTAAACCAGTGTAAGCAGAAAGTTGCTCAATTTGCCGCTCAGCTGGAACAGTATGATATTCATCTCTGTCTATACATTTGAAAGTTAGTGATTATTTGTTTTATTTTCCATTTTTTCATGCAATTCCTGTTGAATTTGTTGACGTTAAACAAGAATACAAGAGAATTGAATAACACAATGATTATAAGAAATATACATATTATTTGTTTGTAGAAATCTAAATGGAAAGGTGGAAATGTGATGGACTGGTCCCTCCTTGATCGGTCAAGGATGGGTCGGTCCCTCTTGGACCGGCTAGATTTTACGTGAGGCGGAAAATGCTTCCACCTAAATGAACCCCGCCCCTTTGTTTGGATCCGTGGGGGATTTAATGAGAAGGGGGTGGCTAGGAGGGAAATTCAAAAGGGAGAGGACTGTTTTTGGGATTTGCTATGTATTGTATGTCTTATGTAGGTTGTTTACGCTAGGGTTCAATTTTTATGCTTGATTTTGGCTGAATTTAGAATTGCTTAGGTTGAGAGGGCTCTAGCCAGCAGCTAGGGATTTGGAAGAGCTGGATCTTCCTCTCCAATTGAAGATCCAATTGTATATTGTGTTTCTTTCTTAGTTCTTTCAATAAAAAGTATTCTTGTGTGTTCTTCTTCCTATATTTCTTGTTGTTGTTTCCTGGTTTTGCTGAAATTGCATTCACTTCCTATCAAATAGGTATCAAAGCTTAGATCCGGGTATCTATGACAGGAAGAAAGGTAGAAGTGTTGAAAGAGGAGATCGGACAATTGAAATATGAAACTCAAATTTCAGCCATTCATGAGAAGATCAATGAGAAGTTCGTCATCATGGAGGAGATGATGAGAAAGATGCTCGAGGTTCAAACCAAAATGACGGCGTCGGAGGCGAGGGGAGCTGTCGGCTACTAAGGGAGTGGAGAAAACTCTAATCCGATAATGAGAAGGGAAGATCAACTGTTTGAGATTGTGGAGGGAGATAGAGAAGGCCTCCCTTAGAGACCATTCTTAGGGAGAAGAAGATATGAAGAGGGTGTGGGGAGAGGCGTGATGGGTTAGTTATGAGTGGAGGGTATGGGGAGAGGAGTGAGGGGTTAGTTATGAGTGAAGAGGTGGTGAATTTGAAAGTAGAGGGGCTGATTGTGATCGGAAGGGTGCTAGAGTTGAAAGGAGGGGATAATTTGACAAAGGTTATGTGTACGAGCATACAAGGGATGATCGGGATACTTGGGAGGACCACCCCCTTGGGGAATGATAGGTTATGGAGAAAATAGGGGGAATCAGGAGATCTAAGGGCGAGGTTGCTAAAGATGCTTGTTTTTGAGGGAGAGCATGCACATGGGTAGATCTACAGGTGGAAAGATACTTTGTCATCAATGAGTTGATGGAGGAGGAGAGATTGACGGTGGCTGGGCTGTGCTTGGAAGGGAAAGTATTAGCATGGTACCAAAGGAGGGATATGAGGCAACCCATACGGACCTGAAGGGAGTTTAATGACTGCTTGTTGAAACGTTTTTGAAATAGTGGGGGAGAGGACTTCTATGAATATTACTTCGCTCTGACACAGGAGATAGTGGTGGAGTACCGTGAGAGCTTTGAGTACCTTACCAGCCGACTGGATTGACTTTTGGAGACTGTGTTGGAGGGAGACTTTATGAAAGAGCTCAAACTAGAGATTTGGGTGATAGTTAGAGTGATGAGGCCTCGTGATTAGGGAGAGGCTATGGAGTCAGCTCAATTAGTGGAGGATTAGAGACACCTAAAGAGAGGGGCCAAATATAGCAGCTCAGGAGGTTCTTACAGGATTATCACCACCTTTTTGACAGCCAAGGGGTTGACACCACGTATTCTTAGAGAGACTTCAAAGGAGAAGACTGTAGGAGGGAGACCTGGGGGAAACTTCAAAAAGCTCACTGAGACGGAGTTACAGGAGAAGAGGGCGAATAGGATGTATTTTAGATGCGGTGAGAGATATACACTAGGGCACAGGCGTAAGGATTGAACTCTTTAGGTTCTCACCATCTATGATAATGAGGAAACTGAGGGAGGTGGGAGTGAGGTAGTGGTGGAGGAAGAAGAGGTGCATTTATATGTGACAGAGTTATCCTTACACTCAATGGTGGGATTCACTATAAATTACATCATGAAAGTGAGAGTAGAGATAGAGAACAAGGAGATAGTGGTGCTACCGTGCTAATAGACAATAGGGCTACCTACAATTTCATCTCCAACCAGGTCGTGGACCAATTGGGGGTGAAGCTTGTAGACATAGGGTGCTACAGAGTGATGATGGGTGCATGGAAGGTGGAGACAGGCAAAGGAGTGTGTAGGAGGGTGATTCTAACCATACAGGGGATCCAGGTGAGTGAGGACTTCCTTCCACTGGAGTTAGGAAGCATTGTTTTCATCTTGGAGATGAAATGACCGCAAATCATGAGAGACACAAAGGTTAATTTGGGAGCACTGACAATGGAAATGATGGTGGAGGGAAGGAGGGTGGTGATGAGGGGAGATGCAGGGTTATTCAAAGTCATGGTTTCTCTCAAAACTATAGTGAGGACCATATAGGAGGGGGTGGGATTTTCGGTGGAGTTTCATAGCTTGGAGGGGTCAGGTTGGAGGGGTAGGGAGACATTCCTCTTTCAATACAATATCTTATACAACAATTCAGTAAGGCTTTTCAGCCACCTCAAGTGTTGCCGCCATTAAGGGAGATGGAGCATGCCATCATCTTGAAGGAGGGGGCGGCACCGATTAGTGTCAGACCTTATTGATACCCTCAGATCCAAAAGGATGAGATCGAGAAGCTGATCCGAGAGATGTTGGAGGCAAGGATCGTTAGGCCAAGCGCGAGCCCTTTTTCTAGTCCAATGTTACTGGTCAAGAAGAAGGATGAAACTGGAGATTATGTGTGGATTATCAAGTCCTAAATAACGAGACTGTGTTAGATAAGTTTCCTATATCGGTGATCAATGAGTTGCTTAATGAGCTTTATGGAACGGTTGTTCATGAAGATAGATTTAAAGTATGGATACCATCAGATTAGGATGAGAAAGAAAGATGCCTCATATAATGCATTCAGGACACTTGAGGGACACTACGAGTTCTAGGTGATGCGTTTGATCTCACCAACACACCTACAACATTCCAGTCCCTCATGAACAGGATTTTCAGACCATACCTCAGGAGATTTGTACTTGTTTTCTTTGATGACATCCTTTTGTACAGAAGGTCGGATGAGGAGCATTTGGAGCATTTGAATGTAGTATTTGAGGTGTTATGGGAGCATTGGCTGTATGCTAACCTGAAGAAGTGTTGCTTTGCACATCCCAGTGTGCAGTACTTGGGGCACGTGGTATCTCAAGAGGTGGTGGTCGTTGATCAGAAAAAAAGTGAGGCTATACTGAAATGGTCGCTACCTAAGACTTTGAAGTAGCTGAGGGGTTTCCTAGGGTTGACTGGGTACTTCAAGAGGTTTGTGAGGGGATGCAACATTATAGTTTGGCCATTGACGGAGCAGTTGAATAAGGATATTTTTCTGTGGGGAGAGGCAGCTACTCAAGCCTTTGAGATATTGAAGAAGGTCATGACCATGGTATTGGTCTTGGCTCTGCCAGATTTTAGCTAAGTTTTTGTGGTGGAGACTGATGCATCCTGGTATGGATTGGGGACAGTGCTCATGCAGAATCAGAAGCCCATAGCTTAGTTCAACCAGATGTTGACAGCCAGAGCTGGACTGAAGTCAATTTATTAGAGGGAGTTGATGGCCATTGTGTTGGCCATTCAGAAGTGACGGCCTTACCCGTTGGGCTGACATTTCATTGTTAGGACAAACCAGAGGATCATGAAGTACTTGTTGGAGTAGAGGATGGTGACTGAGGAGTATCAGAGGTGGCCATCAAAGTTATTAGATATGATTTAGAGATTCATTATAAGCTAGGACTAGAGAACAAGGCAGTTGATACCTTGTCTAGACACATAGGGGAGCTCCAGGAGCTAGCCATTTCGATGCCACTGATGTTAGTTTGAGGGCTATTAAGGAGGAGAGTGTTTAGGATGATCAACTGAGTGGGATTAGGGCATATTTGCTGAGGAATGAGAGTAACCACCCTTATTCCCTGAAGGGGGAGATACTCCTGTTTGAGGGGAGATTTGTGTTTCCCCAAACCTCGGTCCATATTCCTTACCTTCTGTAGGAGTTCCATGGGAGTGTTATCAGGGGTCATTCAGGGGTACAAAAGACATTCATGAGGTTGATGGAAGAGTTGTATTGAAAGGTGATGCATAAAGATGTAGAAGAGATTATGGTTAGATATGAGATGTGCCAGAGGAGCAAATACATGGCCATGACCCCGGGATAGTTACTGTAATCTCTAGCTCTTCCCGACGAAGTGTGGGAGGAGGTCACCATGGATTTCATAGATGGTCTGCTCAGATTTTAGGGGTTTATAGTCATTTTGGTGGTGGTGTACAGATTGAGCAAGTATGCTCATTTTATTCCCCTATGACATCCGTACATGATAGTTAGATTGCATGGGATATTGAAATCTATAGTGTCCGATCAAGATAAAATGTTTCTCAGTCATTTTTTGAGGGAGTTGTTCAGGATGTAGGGGACATTATTAAAAGGAGCACCGCTTACTACCCCAAATGGACGGACAGACAAAGGTGGTAAACAGGAGCCTAGAGACATACATGCGATGTTTTGTTTCGAAGACACCTCGACTGTGGGACAAATGACTGGCTTGGGAAGAGTACTGGTATAACACTTCATATCATTTGACTTTACTGATGACTCTTCTCAAAGTGTTGCACGGGAGGGACCTAACTCACTTGATGCATTTTTGGCAGAGAAGCACACCGATCTTGTCGGTGGAGCAGTAGTTGGAGAGGGATAGCGTGTTGGCTGAATTAAAAGGCATTTGTTGAGGGCTCAACAAATCATAAAAAGCATGTGGAAGGGCGCAGGAAGGACGTGCAATTTGAGATATGTGATAGGGTATACTTGAAGCTTCATCCCTACAAACAAAGGATGGTAGCTAACA